GTACTATTCGCAATACCATCACCCATCTTGAAACCCAGCTTTCATTATTGGATAATATTCGGCCAAATAGACCACGTCCGGTGTGAAGAAAATATAGCAGCCGTAGCTGAGAGCTTCGCTCAAGAGCTCTTGAAAAATTCCAAAAAAAAAAAAAAATCCCACGTTTTGCGAGCCAAATTTTGTTCAGCGAAGAAGCCCATTTCTGACTGAAACAAGTAAAATTGCTGTATTTGGACCGGAGAAAATAACTGTCAATGGCGACAGTTGTCGTGCCATAATAATCGTCTATTTAAAGCCTAAAATTTAACAATTTCCCACATATTGCATCCATCAATGGATTTATTGTGAGAACAGATCAGCAGATAATTTCACGTTTTGGGCCAGTCGATTGGCCGCCAAGACTTTTTCCTGTGTGGATATACAGCACAAGCTGATCTGATGGCTTCGGATTACTTTGCACTTCATTATATTTTGTTTAAGTAACCGTTGATAGACTATTCTAAATATATAAACTAATGTACTATATACAGTCGTTAAAAGATCAGCGTTACGGTACTCTCACGACAGCAAATTAGGTTAGTAGAACTAAATAAATACTGCTAAAAGCATAACCAAACATGTTATCGTGAGTAGACAGATCGCTTATTTGATCATCGCGAAGGTTGACTTTCAACACACTCACACCGGTTTCATGAGTACATGCACACTATTTAGTATGTATGTATATACATATATCATTGCAAAATTCAAGCCTAAATTTGTGAGTTACTAAAACCTAAGTATATACCATACATACGTACATACATACATATTTATGTGTCAAAAAAAATTGATTGTTTTAACTGAGTCAACAAATAGACGAATGCAAAACAAACGTGAAAGCTGTCACTATTGTTTTAACTGAGTCAACAAATAGACGAATGCAAAACAAACGTGAAAGCTGTCACTAAGCCTCCTGCCTTATTGAAACAATTCGAGCGAAAGCCTAAAGTATGGAAATATGGTAAGGCTACGATTACAAACTTTGATAAAATGTCTTTGTTCCTATGGTACATGAGGTGCTGAAGAAAAATCTGACCATAAAGTAAATGGCGCCCTCAATTTCTTAAATCGCTATATTTATGTACAAACGTATTCACATATATATACTTTACTGTTGATACATAATTTCTTACAAAATTCCTGATTTGGTTGTGTAAATTTATATTATTAATGCGCTGGCTTGCTTTCTTTTCATGTTTCATTGTTAGAAAAAAATACCCACGCAATTACAATTTCGCTGTATGATATTGTGAAGCATCAAACTAGTCAGGAATAATACTAGTCACATATAAAACATTGTGAATGACATTAAGATAGACATAAAAACATCGGAAGTACATATAGCAATTATAACACTATTTTTATTGTAATTTTATTCCATAATCGAAATAGCAATTTTTATTTTTTCCACTGACGTGAGATTGTAATATAGTTCTGTCAAAAATATTACAATTGACATCTCTTAAAACATCAGCACAAGGACAGCAAAATTGGTAGATGAAGATGTCAATACACTGTCTAGTTGAACTTATGCATGTACATATGTATGTATGTTCCAACAATACGAAAGAAATTGTATAACCCGTAAACTGTTTGTGTAATGGTATTCTAGTCATTCTATGTACTACATATATTCGAAATTCAGATCGATGAGGAATCAGAAATTTCAGATAATTGGTAACTCTTTAATTCAAAGTGATAAAGTATATTTAAAACTCAATAAAACTGAAATAAAAAGTATTTAAAATAAACTAAAAAGAGAATATTGTGGAAAGAAGACTCCTAAAGGTAGTGCCGCCTTTTTTTTTAATGAACTAGTCCCCACCAATCGTAATCACCATGTGTGCGACTATTTCCAGACTCAAAAACTGATACATTAAAAAAAGATTTCACTCAAATGAGAAAGTCAAGCTGGAAATAAGTGCATATTTAGGAAGCCATAAAGCTACACAATATCAAGCCGGTATCGGAATGTGGGAGAATCGTTACAACAAATAGTTTGGAGATTATGTTGAAGAATAAGGTCATATGTTAATTCAAACCCCGTCTTTTTTTTTAATTGTTCATCATCATTTTGGGATTTTGGGATGGCATTTAGCTGCTCCAGTGAATTTGATATACATACATATCTCTTCGTTCGACTGAAAACGGATTCCACGGAGCGATGATTTAAGTTTTGGGAAACAAAAAAAAATCACGGGGAGACAAATCTGGTGAATACGGTGGTTTATCGATGGTATTCATTGCGTGTTTGGCTTTAAATTAGGTTACAATCATACCCTTTTTGAAAAAATTCAACTTCATCGGTACGAGTCAGGCAAGAACTAGTTTCATACCCAAAATATTCACCTAAATCGTTCGAACGGACTCGCGAGAGGTGTCGAGCTCTTTTGCATCTCCCTTAAACTTGCCTAATGATTTTCAAGTACGATATCCTCTTCAGCACTTTTTTAATATTTTCATCAGTTGAATAGGTCGAAAGTCCTGAAGAACAGCGCAAGTTTTCAACGATTTCTCGACCGGTTTTGAAGACTTTGTTCCACTCGTAGGCTGTTGTTTTTGATAAAACTGATGCCACGTAAGCCTGTAATACGCACCGAAAATCCACACGAAATTTGGATAGAAATACAAAATTGAAAACAAATTCTTTGTTCCATATTTTTATCCATTGTAAAAGTCGCCACATTCCTACAGAGGTGTACCGACTTCAGTAGCTCGCTATAGTAAATACATTCTTTCTAAATATCATTTACCCAGAATTTTTAATTAAAATTTCCGTGTGCTGCTTTGTCCCAATGTATATTGGTCGTATATTTTTATATGTCTGTCTGTCTGGATATACGCGATTTAGTCACTTAGATTTTGATATGGCGATCTGAAATTTTGCAAGCGTTCTTTTTCCCAAGAAGCTGTTAGTTTGTAGGAACCACCGATAACAGCCACTAAGCTATCCTACAAAGTGAACGATAAAAATTAAGTTCTCGTACAAAAACGTGATATCTTCACGAAATTTGGCATGTTCAAAGCAACAATCTCAAGTTCTTCTATGGAAACGTTTTTACTTGTGAAAAGTATTATAGCTTCGCGGCAACCGTAGTTTGGTTGGTTTTTCTTGATTTTTTTTATTTTTATTGAGCTGTCTACTGAATTTATTTCCTTTCACAAAATTAACTAGATTACAATTTTAAAACCCCTTGGTTTGAGTTAAATAAAATTTTAAAATAATATATAAAAATTACCATCTATAGATAATAATTAATAACGAATGCAAATGTTAACTGTAATTATATTCATCAAAAATCAAACAAAAATTTAAAGAAAACCTTGAAAATTAATAAGCAACTTTAAATGAACTGACGGCGTCCTTTCTTAATATTTGTTTTGAAGAATGAATACTTTTAAATTTATCTCAGCGCAAAGTGTATTGGCATCTGTCGATGGTTCACGCTTTTTATTATAAAGCAGCGTTGTACATTAAGTTTAAGGGTAACGCATATTTGCGAACTTGAAATCTCGTAAACTCAAACGATCACAACAGAATTGGAGAATAAAAAATGAACACAAAACAAAAATTGTGAAGTTTAGCAAATCGAAATTGAGTCATACAATTAGACTGCATGCATACATGTGTGTACATTTTTACTACCGACTACAAACATGCAAATGTACATAGACTTAGTACATACATAAGTATATAACATTTTAATTTAATTGTTACAGGTAAGAAATAACTTTAAAGTTGGACGAGTCGTTAAAGAGAACAAGTGAAATCTAACAAACCCACTGGAAACCAAGTCGGCATTTGAACTAAAAGGGAAAAGAAAAATGCAAAATGGGTAGGAACAAGTAAAAGTTAAGTTGCAAATAACAGAAAGCGAATAAGGAGAAAGGGCGGCATCGTCAAGACAAAACAAATTCGCACAAACAATTTATTGATTCATCACCTGATAAGATAACTGGTTTTTATCTTTGAATTAGCAAACAAGTTATAAAAATAATAAAGCGTGTTAAGTACACAACATTACAGTTTATGCATTTATATGAACATAAATATGCACACATTGTAAGTAGAAATAATCGCACCTACTTTCTCCAACCCTTTGCCGGGGCGCTCTTGATAATATCCGACAAGTGGAGCATGCCAAGTTTTAAGTACCAACCCAAAGGCTTGTGAATATTTGTAAAAAGCATTTAATGTCAGAATAAGTATCAGCGGTACTTCCTTTTGAACTTTTTAAATTTTTTCATTTTAACACTTTTTGGTTTAAAAAGTCTCTCAAATTGATAGTGAATTTAAATGAAGTCAAATTAAAAATCGAAAACTGTTTCAAAAACATAAATATAACTGTTTATTCAGTTCAAGGTTAAATCTTTGGCACCCAGCAAAAAAGAAACAGCAACCTCGAGTCTTAATAACAACAGAGTAAATACGAAATCGTTGTGATAAGCACGTGCAGCCGGCTATTCACAGAACGGAAATAATAATGGGTAAGTCAAGTTGCAAAAGTTATGTGGAATCCAATGAACAGAAAACGAAAGCCTTATTCTATATGCATAAATACATATACATTTGTAAATCTATATACATAGATACATAACTACATATGTATGTATGAATATCAAAGCGAAGTTTCAGATTCGCATGCATTTACATATACGACTAATATCTCTGTACGTAACATCAATTGAAGCACCAATTTCCAACCCCGTTCGAAATGATTGAAAACTTCAAATTGCCAACTATTCCAACGTTTAAGTAGGGATTTTAATGTGGCACTGAGCATTCATTGATGATGACGGCGGATAAATGATATTTAGAAATCGTATATAATTGAACACTTCCTATACATGTACATATGTAGGTACATAAGTGTGTGTATATGCATATGTATATAAAACAAACAAAGTGGCATATGTTACGTATGATATATTAATATGTTTATATGTATGTTACTTACCCACAATTCCAGCAAAAACACCATATGATGACTTCGTCACGGCGCGTTGTGGTTTGGCTTGTATAGTTTCCTCGATGCCGGCGCTGTGATTTTTGAGCTGTAGTTTAGATTGTAAGTGCGGCTACCGTTGAAGCTGTTGCTGCTAGAGATAATATTATTGATGCGCACGTTGTTGCACAAAAAAAAATCCAATGCAATGTACCACAAAAGTGTAGGAAAAAATTTAAATGTCAGGGGGTCTCTAAGTTTGTGTGGCAGTTGCTGCTGGTACTGCTGATGTTGTGATGGCGGTTTTTGCTGTTTATAGTATACTTTGTGCTGGCTGACTTTGGTGCCGTTTTGTTTCAATTGGTTAATGTGCTGTGTGACGAACGAATGTGTGTGTAGATATTTCGTTTGATTTGATAGACGAATCGTGGTTTGTTCATTGTTTTTTATTAGATTGGTCCGTTACATTATGTACATATCCTTATCTGCATATGTATGTACATATATGAGCAAGTGTAAAAATTTATGTCTGGTTTTAAACTATTTTATTAATATTTTAAACGAAATTTAATTATTTATAGATTTTTACACGTAAGTATTTCTTCTAAATTTAATTTTAAATAATTTGCCTATTATTTCACAATTTTGCAATCAAAAAACTGTAACATAGCAGTGAAATTTTGTCGGCTCAAGGAACAAAACCTTTGTCGCATTCACAATTGATGCGGAACTTTTTCATAAAATTACACAATTAGCAACATCTTTATGACCCGATTATAGATTATAAATAAAGACAAAGGCACAACGTGCCAAAGTGTCTTATAAACTGTGCTTCTACTATCAAGGACAAGGACACGTTGGAAGACAGCTGCTAGCACAAATGCCTACTATTTATTACTTCAAAGCAGCTGCTCTCACATACATATTTACCTAATAATACAATAGAACTAACAGGATTGTTGTTATTCCAGTTTCCCAATCTTACACACATAGATGTGGTTATATATGTATATTTATGTCCATAACTACATGTAAGAACATAGAATATCCAGAATTACAGGTATCAGACTAATTTACAATTAATTTACATGAATATTTTCGAAATAAAAAATATATCAAATTAAGCTGCGATTGTGTGTCATACAATAATATGCATATTATAAAAGTTATTTATCTATTTCTTTAACTATTACTTTGTAAGCAAACATTTACTTTCTAATTTTCTGTATTGTGCAGCCCGTGAATTTGCAGCAGCTGTATTTCACACACGTATACACTCGCACATTCACCCATGGGCGAAAAATCAATTAAATCTTTAGCTTTTGCGGAAGTCATGAACTTCCTTGCGACTTCACTCTTTCTTCACTTTATTAATACATTTTCTCTGTTGATTCTTTATCATCTTTATTAACTTATAAATAATGCAGCTCATCACTAACCATACATTTTTTTATTCACTTTTGCACAACACAAATTCGATATCAAGCTATTGTTAAAAAGACCGAAAATTAATCCCAACGTACAATTAACAAAAACGTGCCATTAGTGCGAATCAGTTACATCCGAACTCGATTTTAGATCGAACAGAAATGCAACGCCGAACAGAACTGATATTAAAATTGCTAAACACTGAAAAGCGTAGGTGAAAAAGGAACATTGCCACTACAGATTTCAGGGTTGCATGTCATTTCATTAAAACATAACATTAAGAAATTTATACTTATAAAAGGAAGTAGTTGTATGGAAGTTTTCTATTTAAATGTTTTGAAAAAAAAATATGCTCTCTAAAAATAAAAATATATGTGAAAAGAAAAAGTTATGTTGTCCATGCAACTCTGTAATCACAAGCAGGGATGTTACTTTATTTTCCTGTGTCAACTACAAGTCAGTTTCCGTTTTGAAAGAAACAATTTTTACATACATACATATATTTTATTTTAATTTCTGTAATTATATAAAAATAAATTAATGATGTACTTTTATAATAATGCATATTATACAAGTGTTAATAAGCACACAGGGAGTTTATAATACTATGCTAATATATTTGTTGTGGTTCGGTACAAATAATGTATTTATATATTGCTAGTGTATAAACAGTTCTTCTAGAAAAGTGTTTCACCTACTCAGCAAGAAACGGTCGTAATAAAATACCACTAGAAATTTAATATCCCTCTTTAATTTCCATTTGAAACCAGATGTTTCAATAATAACGTGTTGGAGGAAAAGTCACAAATCCGGAAATTCTCTTAATATCGATAACTCATTCCGCTCATAATAAGCACACAAATGATGCAAACAATATGGATATTAAGCTTTGCAATAGTTGCATACTAAATTTATATTTCTCTCCAACAGAAGTTTTCACACCTGCTCAAAATGTACATATACATACATATATGTACAAAGAAAGATAAACACAAACTGTAGAGATATACAGGTAAATTTATTGCAATTAATAATGCATATTTAGCATATACCTAACATAAATCATAATGTATGGATTGTATTCAGTAGATATGAGAACTGCAAAAAGCCCCATCTGATCACCGCTCTTCTGAACTTTTGACAATAAAAACCAATTGGTATTACTTAATGGAAATCTAATAACAGCGTACTGAAATGTTTAGGTTAAATAGAGGCGATGGTAATCATTTGCACCAAAAGCACAATTGCATTTAGGACATTTCCGCTGTCTAGTTTCGTAGCGAGTACGTAAACAGTCATAGCAGAAAACATGGAAACATTTCGATAAAACGGCATCTTTGCGTTTAACCTTACATGAAGGACAGGTGAGAGTCTCTTTATATTCGCGAATCTCTTCTAATACTACTTCATCAATAGTACTGCCAGCCATTTCAATCTTTTTCATGCGTTCAGCCTTGCGCTTAAACTGCGCTAGTTCTTCCTGTAAGCGCTTTGTTTTGTAAGCCTCCGCCTCAAGCGAACTAGTTTTTTCCGCAACAACTTGTTGCGCTTCCTTCATCTGAGAGTGATACTTTTCTAAATGCAACTTTAAATCTGCTGCTGACTGTGCGGACTCAATGGCTTTGCGTTTGTGCATTTCCATTGCTTGTTGACGCAACATCAACTCTTTCTCTATAGTGGCTACGGTAGCTTGAAGGCTACGCTCCTTCTCTTCTAACTTTCGCAATACAATATGCATTGCTTCAATTTGAGTATCTCGTGTGGTCATTTGATCTACTAATATTTGTTTTTCCTCTCGTAATAAATTATGCATCTGGTTTGCTTTAATGCGCTCCGACATAAGCTTAAAGTTTGCATCATCCTTTTCACGGAGTTGCTGTATTAGTCGAGAGTTTTGTTCCTGCATGTCTTCAAATGCCTGACCTGTTACTTCCATTTCATTTAGTAGAGCTTCCTCTTCATGTGACCCAACAAATGGGCGAGCATAATTTGCACCACCCGGCCCACCCCATGCATTCTCCACTGGCTTTTGACTGGCAACTTGTTTCTGCAGTTCATACTTCTGCTCCTCAAGTTGCTTAATCTTGCGTAATGCTTCTTCATCTGCCAACTTTTTACGCTCTTCTCTTTTACTTTCCTGTATTTTCTTTAATTGTTGACGCAATTCCTCTATTTCTGACCGAAGTTTCTTCTCGGTTGCCATAAGCTGCACTTTGTCACGTTGATCCTTTGAAACGCCTTTATACATATCAAGAAGAAGCTTCATTTCCTTTTGATCATTTAATGCTTTTCTGCAAATAAAGGTGTTATTTATAATGTGAACTCTTAATTGCAGAATAGGCTCACAAGCTTATATTTTAATTTTATTTCAACGACTATTGTCAAAAGACTTACTTGAGCTGTGCCTTTAAATCCCGCACAATTTCGGATTCAACTACTTTTATATCCTTGGCCTTTGGCACATCTTTTGCGTCCTTTTCAACCTTGACGGTAGCTGTGCATGGCGTTCCAGCAACTGTTGCTCCGCTTGTTGCATTATTGTTGGTACTACCTGCAGCCTGAGCATCTTTCTTCTCCCCAACAACTGCAGTGGGCCCTGTCGAATTTTTTTCTTGCTTTATTCCATCTTTTTGCTCTTTCATCTCGTCATCGCCATCATCCCCTGGAATATATTGATTAATGTTTCTGCATTTGATCAAAAATATTAGCTAACCTTTGATGTTGGCACTGGCTTCATCTTTGACGGTTGCTGATGATTCGTTACAGCTAGTACCAGTTGTTCCTGCGCCACCAGCGGCATTCTCCTCTTTCACAGTATTTCCCCCCTCTAGTTTAACCTCCTCTGTTGCGGGCGGTGGCTGCTTTGTACCCTCCAGCTTCGCCAAAGTATCCTCTATTTCTTTTCGAAGCTAAAATATATAATATATATAAAAATATTAGCATATACATAATCATTTTCAAATGTCGGATTATTACTTTATTCATTTTTTCCAAGCAATTTCCAAAAACAATAAATTGTATGGAATTCATACAATGCCCACCTTTACATTATCTGCCGAAGCATCCTTATATTTACGCTTATATCGCTGACCTTCTCCTTTTAGCTGCAAATTATGGTTTTGTAAGGAAGTAATTAAATGTCGCATTTCCCTATTTATTGGTGCTGTTTGCTCGTTAGCAGCCATATTTTGCTCAAATTCAATGCGCAACGTTTCATATTCTTTCCTAATCTGAGCCAACACGTCCTCCATTTGAATCATTTCACTCCGTACCTTCTTTTGTGCAATCAATTCTTCACTTTCCATAACTTCAATCTGACGTAAATGTTGGTTCTTACTTGTCTGCAACTGATTCCGTGTTTCATCCAACATTGTTTTTATTTGCATGGATTCATTATATAGAACCGAGAACTGTGACTGCAAGCATTTGTATTCTGTCGTTTCAACAATTACCGACTCAGGCAACTGACGAATCTATTGAGATTAGAAAAAGAAAATTTTGATTTTCTTATGATGTAACATACATATCTATTTATACAAAATACTTACATCCATTTTTAATTTTTCCACTTCCTTTAACGTCTCCCTATGTGTAGCATGCAATTTATCCAACTCCTGCAGACGATTGTTCGCCAGTTCACGATACTCTTCTAAATCCTTTTGCAAGTCTTCGTAATGTTGGCTGTTTACATTTGCAGTGGCTGTTCCTTTACCAGAAGATGAGCTTTTATTAGGATCACCATGCATTTGATGGTAGGCTTTCAACTTCTCTATGGCTTCTGCCAAATGATTTTCTAACTTATCGTTGCGACAGTGCACTTTTTCCAAATCATATTGTAACTCATCTATCTGATTTTTTAGCTCTGCATTTTCGGTCTCTTTAGCAGTCAAAGCATCTTGACATTCTTTCATTTTTAATGAAATTGTATGAAATTTTTCATGCAACGAAGTGTTTAAGCTTTGCAAATTTCGGTTTTCGGTCATAATTTCAATGTGCGTTTGCTTTAGAGTCTCATCGATATTTGGCAAAATATTATTGGTAACATTATCTGTCCCATCTTCACCTTCCGCATTCGCATTAGCATTACTACCACTCGCAACGCCATTTCCTTCTTTCAGAGCTATTGTTATCTTTTCATTACGTTGCATGATACGATCAATCACTTGCACTATCTTTGCTACCGCCCTCTTTGAAACTTGAACACGATTAGCAAGTTTATCGTCAAGCTCCTCTTTATCCCACGTGGATAATTGTATGAGAAAAGATGTGGTAACTTCATTCTCATTGCGATTTTCAGACTCATCAGCCGTTTCAGCGTCGAAACGTTGCAAGAGCACGCGTATATCTTCATTTAACTGATTCCAATATCGATTTACGACATTTAATACAGCATCGTCTTGCATTTGACGCTTTTCCAATTGTTCAATACGATGCCTCAACTCTGCTTCGGTTCGCATCCGTTGTTCAATACGCTGTGCTAATTTTTTATTTTGAAACTCAAGGACTTTAATATCCATTTCTTCCAGTGTCGACACAGGCCCAATGAGGTGCGGTTCAAAATGAACTTTCTTAATTGGTGGCTGCCCGAGATTTGTGGCAGCCGCGGTGCTACCGCCACCACCAGACTCCTCTGCGCTGCGTTTCGACATTTTACAGCAATATCTAAATTATTAGAAAACTTTTGTAGAATGAAGCAATTAAGTAAAATAACAAGCAACAGAGTGCCGGGTCTTATAATCAATAGTGATCTTTCAGATTCTTGCATGTTTTCCTTTAATATTCCAACCTATATAGCTTTATTATATTAAATTAACAACATTCAAACTACAACTTACCCTTTTTAACAAATTATATATAAAAGTTTCCGCAAGCAAAGTGAAAATGACCTAAAAAAAATTGTAAGCATTTCTATTGTGTCTGAATACAAAACTTGATAAAACAGAGCTTCGCGGAATAGGTGAAATAGAAACACAGCGTGTTAAACTCGCCTTAAAAGTAAATATCAGCAAAAAATCTGTCTATCTATAATTTAAAACCAAATACAATCCCTATATTAAATTAAACACAATATCTATGATCTTAATGTAGAATTTAAAAAACTTTTACGTGATTGAGGCTTTACTTTTAAAGCATTGAAATGTATGGAAATACAAAATATTCCTGTGTTGCAGAAGAAAACAAATATTTAAAATGTTACGGAAGTGGAAAAGCAATGTATGTATGCGCATTAATTTGATCAGAAGGATGTGTGTGAGCAAATCAATTTCATTTCATTCATGTTTCCTATACTTAAAATAGTAAGTTACAGAAATTAAAAATTTGAATTTAAAATTAAGATAAATAGATTCTTTATCCAATAACCAAAAAGAAATTTAAATAAAATGTTGACTTTTGTAAATTTCCAAATATATATACAATGCAATGCAAAACATTTTTAATTTACGATTTATTTTTACAATACTTTCGCTATATATTGCAACAAATTATAAAGACTCATTCACTTACAACTTTCCTCGGTTTGTGTGACATTTCTTACTGAAACAACGAAGCACAGTAAACATAGGGTATGCTCGTTCATTAGAGCTCATTAGCTTTGCTTTCAGTGCTCTCTAAAAAAAGTAGCGATTGTTGCTTTGAAAAGAACAAAACGAGTTATGTGAACATATTCTTACAAAAGCACACATCGGACTTTTCTGACGCAAAGCAAATCTAAAGTTCTTCGCGAATTGGACATAATAATTTTGTTTACCCAACTCTTATTTGTGGCTTGTTTGTAGCATCTAGAACTAATTGAGATAAATATAGAATTATATACATACATATGTCTTTACATATGTTTTGTTTTTTACGTGGCGGGTCCCAAAACCAGCGCACAACCCTGAGCAGGGTTATTTCGCCTTCTCACCCTTGCTCGCCTTCAAACGAATGTTTTTTGGCTAAAACCGACAGTCACTTCAGCCATATGTAAAAGAATCGTTTCTGGGTATTTTTCTCGTGTTTCTGCAATGTTTTGAATTAAATTTGGTTTTGGATGGTCTTCTCACATACAGACGAGAACACTTTCAAACAAGTGCAATAGAACATTTTTAGTTTTACCTGACAACGCGCCGTCGCTCCATTTTTCTGGTTACCAACCCTTTTTTGGATTCATTTATGTTTCTCAGGTGTGAACTATTTTTCGTAACCTATTGTTTTGAAATCAAATATCAATCGACGAGCTGAGTTGATTAGCCACCCGTTTCGTCCTTCAATTTATAAGATATCGATTCGAAAACTGCATTGTTTGGATTCGATTTTCTAGATGAGACAGATTTCAAAACTTTAAGTACTGCGATTACATAACTAAATGTTACAAATGTACCTCCAACTCAGGCAAATAAATAAAGGTTGCGAACTATGAACCAAATATAAAAAGACTAGACAATTTTAAATATAATTAAAGACGTATAAAAGATTGAAGAGCGATTGATTGATTTCAGCTCACTATGAAATTGAGCTGTCCGCCACGATGTCAAAGTCGTGCTTGGCGACTTTAACGGCACGGTGTGCAAAGACAGTATTTTTAGCACAACAATCGGTAAATTCATCCTCCATGATGAAACATTCACAAATGGGTTGAGGCTGATCGGCTTCGGAATATTCATCAAGCTACTTGGCTGCCTCTGAATCGAAAAGCTACCAACCAGATCGATCATGTTATGATAGACGGAAGACACGTCTCTAGACGTCGTATCGCAGTGAAGAGAAAACAGACTGACTACCTCGCAACTTTACAATCGACTACAATGCGTGCGGGATGGGACAGGTACCCAGAATTAAAGAGGGAAGCAATACGCATTTGCAGACAAAAAAGGAAAGAAGCAAAAATGCGTGAGTACGAAGAGCTTCACATGCTGGCCGACAGGGGTAATGTTCGAAAATTCGACGAAAAAATGCGCCGCCTTACAGAAGGCGTAAAGACCGGAGCATACTCTCATAGGAACCCCAGAGAAGATCTAGTGGCTGATGCCCAAAACATACATAAATTATAGAGAAAACACTTCTCCAGCCTGCTGAATGCCAGTGACAGCATAACTTCAGGAGACAGGGAACCCGATTCCCCAGTCGATGGCGATGGAGCAGACGTTCCATTGCCGAACCCAAAATCGGCGGGAGCCGATGGATTGCCAGCTTCTGTGTAAAATATGGCCGGACGAAAGCATACCAACGTTTAGAATTTAATTGTTCTCTGTCCAATCCACAAAAAGGGAGATCCCACAATCTGCGCCAACTATCGTAGGAAAAATCTGCTAAACATCGAATATAAAGTTCTATCGAGCGTATTGTGAGAACGATTAAAGCCCACCGTCAACAAACTGACTGGACCCTATCAGTGTGGTTTTAGGCCTGGAAAATCAATAACCGACCAAATATTCACCATGCACCAAACCTTTGAAATGGCCCGGAGCTGTCTTATGTCGCTATGTCCGAATTTGGTGTTTAATTTTCGTTTATCTTGGAAGCATCATGAACTCCAATATCAAAGTTAGTCTCGAAATCCAACGCAGAATAACTCTTGCTAACAGTTGCTACCTCGGACTGAGTAGGAAATTGTCCCCTCTCGATAAACAAAGACCAAAATTTACAATTCACTCACTATCCCCGCCCTGCTATATGGTGCTAAGCCATGGAAGATAACAACATCTGAAGAGTCGCCGCACGAGATTTCAAAGAAAAGATTCTACGGAAGATATTTGTGCATTGGCAACAGCGAATACCGAAGAAACGATGAGCTGCACGAGATATATGACGACATTGACATTTCAATATAAAGAAACAAGTAGAGAAAGCGGCTAATTTTATTTTTTAGTAGAACGCATAATAAATGGCAGTGATTTTATATACCATATGTATGTCTTTATACATATGAAGGTGTCACATGTTAACATGGAATTACAATTATATCAATAAATACATTGTTTTGATTGCATTCGAATGCTTTAGAATTTAGAATGATTGATATTTAAGGGCTTGCCTAATGGTCATGCAGTCGACTTCGTCAATTTTGATGCTGTTAGCTTTAATATTGATCTCCTCCTCCTGCATTATCTGTACGTGCAGCAAATAGCGTAACGAAGCTTTATTTTCATTGATCTTCTGATTAAGTTTACATATTGATGCTTGCAAGGCCTCCATTTCATGATAGAGTGCATCCTGTACACTATCACAGGTTAGCTCAAGGCCCGGGCGACGTGCACGATTACTCAAACGCGTCTGACAGAGGGTCAATGAACGTTGCTTATCGGCCAGCTCCTTCTCCAACTGCTGAATGTTGCGTTGCAGCTCGTGTATATGAGTCATGCAATCGTTGTGCTTATCCTCTAAACATTTCTTAATATGCTTCATTTCGGCTATGCGCCGTTCGAAAGCCTCATTGGTGCGATCCGTTTGATTTTGCATGTCCTCGCACACCTGTTTCAACAACAAATCAATATAAGCACGCAATTGTGAGGCTGAATTCAACTCTTTGGCGTTGTCTTCAATGTTTTTGTATGTCGTATGTTGCCACTCGCCCAGTGAGTAACGACTAAAGAAGACGCGGAAATAAATTAATTAATTAGTGCATTTTAGAGGTTTGTTATAACGAATTGAATAACTTATAAAAAGGATTAAAAAGCACAAAAGGTATAAGTATTTAACGGAGGATGAACAGGAGGATGGAGCCATGTGTAGAAGTTCACGCAAGTGAGAAAAGTTCTCTGAGCGCAATTCACTTGAGAGTGTCAATAAACGTTTTTTTTTTTTCATATGGCTCAAGCAGCTTACGACTTCCGGTCTTAGACCAGGTATCCTCTGGGTAGCCAAAAATATCCTTTTGAAGGCAAGCTAAATTGAGAAGGCGGAACATCCCTCCCCAGCTATAACCGCGTAAACGGTGTCTGCGCCAATAAAGAAAAATTAAGTTAAATTACCATTCTAGATTCGATAGATCTTTTCCGTGACCCAAGTTGCGCTGTGTCTCTCGCAGTGTTAAATTATTTTCATCAATCAAGAGAGATTTATCCTTCTGTGCCAGATCCTTATCTAACAAATACATTGTGGCGCGTAGACTACGTATCTGCTCATTTGCCTCTTTCAGTGAACGATCCATTAAACACTGACAGCCTTTAATAACCTTCAACTCGCGACGCAAACAACGATCCACCTCGTCATCACACAGGTCCACTCCAATACGACCTTCTCGCAGTATCTGACAACGTTGATTTATGGCCAACGATTTCTCCTTCAGAAAATCGATGGCGTTGAGTACACGATTACGATATGTATTCAGCGCCTCATCCTCCAGCATGGCAGTTTTCTTTTGCCTATTCAATTCATCCAATAAAAATCGAATTTCACTAGTACGCTCGCGCATATGATGCTCCACTTCACGCTGCCAACTTTTAGTAGTGTCTTTGGTTTCATCCACAATCCGTTGTGATTCTCTACATAACGGTAATGCTTGCCAGTTCATTTATTTTCTCTAATATATCACATATGTCTTACTCTACAATACGCTCCGCTAAACGTTCCTGATCGCAGGTGATGCGAAATTTCACCTGATTGTTGAAGTCCCAATCTTCTTCCGTATACTTCGGGGGTATTCTCGCTTGAGGGCCATATCCCTTGCCAGTCAAATGCAGACCAGCGATTCGTCGTGTACGCATATTCGGCAGCATATTTATGATTTCACGTTATTGTTGTTCTTATTCGATTAAAGATCTATAAAAAATATTTGCAAATATTTGTTTGTATGTAATAAAGTAAAAAAAATCGAATATGATATTATTTTAATAAATTATAAACTTCAATATGAACAACAAATTTTTTTCAAAGTCAACAGCTCAATACACAACGAATCAACTGGAACAGACATAATGTGGAGAAATTTATATGAGCACATAAAATAATATCGATTATACGGGAGTTGTGCGTGGTTGCCTAGAGGATTATTATAATATTTTTTATATTCTTATTTTTTTTTTTTTTGCTCTGAATAAATTGACAATGTGGGCCTTCATTGACGTAGTACTTTCCTAGTAGGGTAGGTTTGCAAAATGAAAAAATTTTCTAAATCCCAAAACTATTATCCGGGTGAAAAAGTTTTCAATTTTTTGATGATTGTGTGGAAATATTAAGACAAATATATATAGTTAGATTAGGTTAGATTTAAAGATGAGGAATGCACCGCGACCTTAGGTCTATTGTGCCCTCTCCTAAATCATATAGACTCACTTAGCCCCAGCGCATTGTTGAAGTCCAATAGCCTACCGGGTGCTAGCGGGGCGGATAATTATATATATGATTACTTTTTCTAAAAATTTTAATAATATTTGCCTTAAGTTCATATTTCCTAGTTTTGTTCTATTAACGATCGAATTATTTAATTCACAATTATTATAACATTGCCAAACTTTCCCCACACTATATCATTTCAAAAAGTTTGTCAATAATCCTAGTTTCTACAGGGTCATTCGCCTCATACACATTAGCAAGATAATCACGTTTGTAAAAATAATATTTGATAAAGATGAAAGGACTTACAGTGAACGTTTGATGTATGTATTTCAAGGAGTATGACCTTATACTAAATATAATAAATAAACTTGGGTTGCATGATAATGTTAAGATATCCATTTATATAATCGACAGCGCTAAAATAAATTAATTATCTAAGTCATAAAATTGTACCATTACATAGTATATGACTATATTAATATAATATAATTTACCTCAACCCATAATCAAGAATTGATTTATTTTGATGATACTTTTGGTCCATTGGTATGTAAAACTCAAATCAAGAAAGCCTGAGACATCTTTTGCTTCACATTTCAAATTTTTGTCTTACACTTGTTTCCTCTGAATAAAATTTAGTACATGGGTCAAACCACGTCAAGAGGTCCTCGAAAATTTCGCAAAACCACCGAAATTTGAAAATTAACAGTTCATTAGGAAGGAGACCAGAGGCATAAATTTAAAATTCTTCTTTTTGTTAAAGTTCTTGAAGGTTGAAATTTAGAGTACGATAAAATTGTAAAATTATGTTCTCATAAACTACTGGAGATAAATCGATGAAATTTTGTGAAGTCAAAGAAAAATGTTCGTGCGCTTATGCTTTTTTAGTGGCACAGATGTCAGGAGATTACGTAGCACATGTCATACGTTTTAAGAGCGTTAGGGGGACAAAAAGTTTTCCATTTGTTTTCGGAAAATGAAAAAGAACAGCTGGTACTATGAGGAGTGTCGTGTCGCGGGAGAGAGAAACAGACGGACTACCTCGCAACGTTACGATCGACCACAACACGTGCGGGACGGGACGGGATAGATACCGAGAGGGAAGCGAAACGCATTTGCAAACAGAAGAAGAGAGAGGCCGAAATGCGTGAGTATGAAGAGCTTGCCAAGCTAGCTGACACGGAAATGCTGGAACA